GAATCACACATGTCAATTTATTTATAAAATATCCAATATATTTTTATTCTAATAAAAATATTATATATATATATATATATATTTATCTTAAGAATTTTCACATGTGAAGAATTTATAATAATTCACGAGTTCAATTTAACCAAACCTCTTGACAGACATTTGTTTATATAAACAATTATTTTAATTCAAACAATTCAAAATTATACGTAGCATACAGATAATATTTCATTAAAAACCAATATATTTAAAGAAGTTAAGTAACTCCCATTTATTTGCTCACAAATTTGAAAGATGTACTTTAAAAATATGTAATAGTAAAAAAGTCAACGATGAAAATAATATGAAATTAAAATTTTATTAAAAGTCTAATAATTAATTTTGTAACGAATAAAAATAGATGTAATTGATCTTTAAAATAAAAAGTACCTTATAATCAAATATGATATAATTGAAAAGTCAGTGGTTAACATAATATATAATTATAAAATCATTAAACTCTAATAGTTAATTTTGCAATGAATAAAAATAAATGTAACTGATTTTTAAAATTAAAAGTACTTTTTATGGTATGACTGAAAAAGGAAATGGCTAAAATAGTATATATAATTATTAAATTTATTAAATATTTTTTATATTTAAAATTATTTTTTGTAATCAGTATGGTATGTTTAGCTTTTAAAATTATTAAAATAGTCACGCACGAATTGAAAATAGAAAAGTTTTCAAAATATTGTTTAATTAAAAGTCATATTAATTTTGTTGATTCTAAACGATATATGTTTTTTAAGGAATTACAGTGATATTAAGGATAATTTTTATTTATTGACAATGTAAAATTTTGAAAAAATAATCTATACATTTTATCATTCAACTACAAAGTATTATATCTAATAAATAAAAATGTTAACTTTAACAATAGTTATATTAAAAATAATATAAACGTGACTTCTAATTAATTTTCATGAAAATATTACTCTATCAAAACCGAGTCATTGAATTATATTTTTTTTACAGCTGATAAAAATTATAATTTAGACCAATGATAAAATTAAAAAATTGTGTTGATGGTTTAAAAAAGGTCGTAACATTTTATAATCCTAGGTTGTCTTTCCATTTTGTAAATAATTATTATAAAATAGAAGAAATTGAGGAATTGTACTTTGCGAAGGGAAAGAGAGAGAAACCGCGTACCTTTTCACACTAGTGTAGAAACTGGCACCCCCCATTTGCTCAAAGATCGCAGCAAGAGCAACAGCAACAACACTTGGAACTGAAGCACCAATCCATTCCCTTCGTACGAGGTTTCTCTGTTCTGTTATCAATTCTCGTGTTTAAGGTTTGGTGGCCTTGCCTTACCCCCTTGGACCTCTTTTTTTCAATGTACTTGATCACTTTTGTCTCAAAGTTTGTCACTTTTTTTGTTTCTTCTTTTATGGGTATTTGATTATTTGCTGGGTCCGCTTCAATTTATGTCTTCCTCAGGTTTGTGTCTTACCGTTTATTTTTCATCCCTTTGGAATACCCTTTATTTCGGATTGGTCAACTTGGTCATTTCTCTATAATAATAATGATAATAATGAAATTTGGTTGTCTATTATTTTTCTTCAGAAAAAGGAAAGTGGATGTTAGATGGTTTTTCTGAGTTCTTTAATTCGGTATATTTGTTAGGTGGATTTTTTTATCCATTTGAATCACCTGTTTTGTTATCTGGTAATTAATTATGTGTGGTAGTATCAATAGTCTTTTTTTTTTTTTTTTTTTACTTTGCTGGTGGATTTTGGGCTACTTTATCTTTTGACAGGTGTTCTTCTTTGTTTTTTTTTTGTTCCCGCAAATTTCAGATTTGGATGAAATATTGATTATGGAATTTAACTGGTTATCTTAGAAGGACACTGTTCTGTATATCGGTTTATTGGTCAATCAGTTAGTATCCGGGCATTTGATCTCTTAATTTTGATTTTGTACTAATTTCTCTGAAGAACTTGGAGGAATATGTAATCATGTAATTATCTCTTTAGACGGAATAGGTCCAGGTTTTTGATAGGGCGTAGTTGAGAACAAGGAGTTTTGGAGAAAAATGAAGCTTGAGAGATCACTCTCAGCTGATCTATTAATATAAAAAATATGCAATCTGATATTCATAAGGTTGATAAGACATACTACACCCTAGGACCCTATATTCACCAAATTGTAATTCTTAGAGAAGTTGTTTGATCCACACAAGTTCACTTGTGATTTAAGTCATTGTCCATGCTCTATATTCAGCTTGAGCACTAGATTGAACAATTACATTCTATTTCTTGCTCTTCTAGGAAATAATATTGCCTCTAATAGATACATTACACCTAGTAGTGGAACGCCTATCTATATCATAATTAACAATAAATTTGGGTATTTTTTTATCTCCACACAATAATCCTAGGGCCTTGTTGAAGTACTGTAGAAAGCAAATTACAACATTCCTGTGGTCAACATGAGGGATTTGTATGAATTGACTAACGACTCAAACCATAAAGATATGTTAGGAAAATGAGATTTCCAACAAGTATTTTATATCTCTCCGGATTTGGAGAAAGTTCTCCTTGTTCTGTCCTTAATTTCTAATTAGCGTCTATAGGGCTACCAAGGCTTGCAATTAGTCTTGCTAGTGTCTTTCAAGATATCCAAAGCATACTTCCTTTGGAAAGTAAGAATACCTTATTTTGATTGAGCCACTTCAATTCCCAAAAAATATTTAAGGCATCCAAGGTATTTCATAAGAAAATGGCTACTTAAATATACTTTCAGTTGGGAAATTTTGGTAACACATTCCTTTTAATAGCTATATTATCAATATACACAACTATGTAAACACATTTATTGAGAAAAGTGTGATCATAAAAAATTGAATGATCCGTCTCAATACAATTTAGTCCAAAAGTATGCACAATGTAACTAAATTTCCTAAATCAAGCTCATGGGAATTGTTTGAGCCCATAGAGAGATTGACATAATTTAAAGACTAACTCGCACTCTTTTTGAGCAACAAACCTAGGAGGTTCGTTCTATACAAATCTCCTCTTTGAAGTTACCATGAAAAGACATTTTTTAAAATTCGAATAATGGAGAGGCCAATGATGAATGATTGTCATAGCGACAAAGAGCCAAGGAGACGAAAGGATGCCATAATTAGGAAGAAACTACCAGTTGTATTCTTGACAACAAGGGAAATATCACCATTATCAAGTCCATATATTTAAATGTACCCTTGGCTACCAATCTGACCTTAAGGGTGTCAATTTCACTATTGAGCCCTACTTTAGTGGTATAGACCCATTGACATCCAACTTCCTTCTTTTGAGGTGGAAGATGACTCAACTCTCATATGCCACTAATTTTCAAGAGCTTGCATTTCAACAATGATGGCTTGTCACCATTTAGGATGAACAAGTGCTTTATTGAGGAGCATTGAGGATGTCCATCTCTACCATCATGACCTCCTCTATTGCTGCAACTTCCTTTTCTTCAAGTGGATACCATTACAAAAGATTCAATTGGATCATAGACATTTCCACTCTTAGGGGTTGGAATACAAATAAATTTTGTTGTCAAGCTCTCCGTTGATGGAACTTTTTGACTTGTTAGAATTTGATCACAAACTTTATCAAACATTTGGATTTATGGCATGAAGAATCATCACAATATACAACTTGTCAAATTTCTTCTAATAAAGCTTTTGAGCTTTTGCAATAAAGGAGGTCATATCATGGTTTGTTTGTTTAAGAGATGCTAGCTTATTGGTAGAATCATAGAGGTAATGAATATAATTTGCAAAGATACTCTTCACCCTTTTTCCTTCCAAAAGGAATAGCATGTTTTAGAAGTTGTAGTAGACCCTAATATGTTTTGTTGGGGTCCATGGACAGCCAAAGCAAAGCACAAAGTTGACAATCAACTTCTTCCACTGCTCAATATTCTCTGATGAAATTTCGCTGCTGTCATTTTCAAGGTGATCATAAAATTCTTAGCCAAGAAACCATAGTTCAATTAATTTGTCCATAAAGTTTTTCCAAAGTTATTGTGGGAATTCTATAGAAGGAGAATACTGGTCTAGACGCCATGGTACATGGAAAACAAATGAAAGGATGCCCAAAAAGAGAAGAAAGGGGAGCTGAACACTTGGAATCTTTAAATGAGGGTTGAAATAGAAAGTAGAAGCACTGAGGAGATCGATGGAGGAGGTGTGAGGTTGTTCCAGTCACCAGATGGTCATGCGTGGAGTTCATTCGCCTAACAGATAAGTGTAAAGCGGTGGCATGGGAGGCACATACAAAGGCTTATGCCTTGGCGACCACCAAGGTTGTGCATTGCTTAACAAGGCTCATCAGCTCTGATGGTTGCCATAGAAAAAGATGGTAAATGGCAGCCAAGTGTGACAGGAAGAGCGTTATTGAAGCTGCCTTGATACCAAGTTGAGAATAAGGAGTTTTGGAGAAAAATGAAGTTTGACAGATCCCTCTAAGTTGATCTATTAATATACAGAATATGCAATCTGCAATACAAAAGGTTGATAAGAAAACCTATACTGTAGGACCCTAAATGATTGACAGGTATGGCAAAAAACAACTCTACAAAATATTCTAGAAGAAAATAATAAACTTTTTCTAACAGGCACCTTCAACGTGTTTTTTTGTTGATATTCTGCATTAGTCTAGTAAGAGAAAATGCTGTCATGGAACTTCGTTCTGATTGGTTTTATGTGTTTGCAGTTTCACATTTAAATTCGTTGTTGCAGTTTCACATTTAAATGTTTAAAGTTCTTTAAATTCCGAAGTATCTTTGCTTTATGATTCTAAATTAGATTTTCTTTGTCTCTTTCCAGGATACAGTTTTCTTGATACATTTTCAAGTTTTCATCTCCATGTTTTGATTTTGACGAACAAGGAGAATGTAATTGACTAGCACAAATATGGTTTGTTTATAAGAGACCTGTATATGGTTTTGGGTCTTGTGTAAAAAGCATGGAGGATCTTGAATTAAATATCAACTGGGATGATGTAGTCTGTCCTATATGTTTGGATTTTCCTCATAATAGTGTTCTTCTCCAGTGTTCATCCTTTGATAATGGATGTCGTGCTTTTGTCTGTGACACAAATCAATTGCACTCTAACTGTTTGGATCGCTTCAGAAATTCCTGTGGCGTGCCATCCTCTCCTACATCTACTACTGTTTCTGCTGAAAACGCTGAAAATAGTGATTCTAAGGAGTCAAATGATCAATGCAATTTGACTTGTCCCTTGTGTAGAGGTGAGGTTTCTGGGTGGATTGTCATTGATAAAGCTCGCGGTCATCTTGATGAGAAGAAGCGCTGTTGTGATGAGGTGCAATGTACATTCATGGGAAGTTACCTGGAGCTACAAAAACATGTTCAGCTTGAACATCCTCATGCACGCCCCTCAAAAGTTGATCCTGCCCGCCAACTTGATTGGGAGAATTTTCAACAATCATCAGAGATCATAGATGTTTTGAGTACTATTCATTCAGAAATTCCTAGAGGGGTGGTTCTAGGAGATTATGTGATTGAATATGGGGATGACGATGCTAGAGATGAATTTGAGGACTTCCCTGGAGATGAGGGCAACTGGTGGACCTCTTGTATTCTGTACTTTGATAACTTCAGACGATCGAGAAATAGAAGAAGGGCAAGAGTCAGTCAGACAAGAAGGGGTAATCGCCGATTAAGTTATGATACTTCAAATTCTGATGAAGGTTCCGTAGCATCTATGGAGTATGCAGATTATAGAATAGAAGAGGCTGATGATGATTTTGTTAGTACTAGTGGCTCTGCGAGGGGTAGCAGTGGTGGTTATCGCAGGTGCATAGACTTTTCCTTCATTATTCACTTTTACATCTCATATCTTTATTTCTGGGTTGTTAAGCTTTGGTAATTTCAGTACAAGACTAGCATGCATAACTTTTTCACTCTTTCTTTTGGTTTCATGATAAATAGTGTTCTATTGCTAAAGATGAATTCAAAAGATGCTTAACATTCTAAACAAGTTACCATTTTCCACGTTTCCATTTTAATCTTGTTACTATCCTCCAATTCAATGATTTAACTTTCTATTTGAGCAAGTGGTGTTTCATTTGCATTATTGTAAAACGTGTAATTAGACACAAAATGTTCCTATTGAAAAAGAAACTTGATCTTATATGCATTGTTTGCAACCTAAGTTTTTGTGGTTCATTCAAATGTTACAGTTGTAAACTAGGTACTAATTAGCTATTTCAAGTTATTATTTGATAGTTTTTTACTTGCTATTTATGTAATAGAATGGTATGATACTCCTCTTTTCTTTTTCCAATGTTGGTCAGAGAATCTACTTTCTTCGACAGTTAATGATCAAGTTTCATCTGATTCGAGTGTTTGCACATGTTACCATTTTCCAATGATTCAATGTGACTGACTATCATCAATCTTAGGACTACCTTAGGTGTATTAGACTAAATGTTTTATTTTGATGTTTGAACTTTGAATTTATCGTTATGACAATTATGTTATTCACAGATCCCATAGACGCCGTTCCCGCTTTAATGACAATTAGGTATGTTTTGACTGCTCAAGAGTTCATCTTTCTGTTATTGTTAAAAGGTGCTGATGACTTAAACACACTGCTAATTGTAGAATTTTTTTTCTGTCTTGAAAGTGCACAGCCATGGTGCTGAGGGCTTTTGTTCCATTACCTTTATTTAGATTTCTTGTGAATTTTCTCAGTGTTTGCAGACAGTATGTGAATTGAAGGAAAGCATAAGTTCAAGGGACATGAAAAAACCTGTGATGTGCCATGTAAAGATTACATTTAGCTCCTCTGTTGCTTTTACCCTGAGATTTGGTGATTGAGGACTTTGTAAATTTGACACTTCCATGTGGGCACATACCCATTTTCATTTCTTTTAGAATTTGCCAATTAATTTCCTCATAGGCAACCACAATGATTTAGCTAGCATTCTACTGCATAACTATGGAATAATGAATTTTTTTGATCTTATTTTGGTTGTACATATAGGATATAGTGAATTGATTGTGATATGTTAGAACAACACAAAGATGGTAGCTTCTATGTCACTGAAAAAGTGTGATATAATTGCCCATGTGACTTCTTATGTCAGCACTTGCAAATTCATACATTTGTAACTGCATAATTTTACAGGTGGTTTCTGTTTGGATTCAATTTGGTTCCAGTTGAACTTTATGTTAAAATATCTAACACAATTTTTCAAGTTTTGGTGCAAAAATAAGAATTCTGTAATCTTTTCCTATAGCATGTATAGACTTGTAAAATCAATTCCTTTCAATGTCAAATCTATAATTGAGGTTAATTTAAACGTTTATATCTTTATCTCAATCATGTTTAATGGTTTAAAATTAATTTTATTAAAACAAATTCTAATCAACTTCAAAACAAATAGGCCATGTAAGAGGATGTCTGGTTTAAGAGACCAGTTTTACATACTGATATGTTTAAATTAAAATATGGTTGGCATAATCAAATTATTTAGCAATAATAATCACATTTGACAGAGGATTTTAAATGTTGGAGGAATTAATATATTTTATGACGGTTGAATTTGATTTCTTCCCTAAAAGTTTTGAATAATTCTCTCAAGTGCAATAAATAACAATTTTAATATAATCAATATGAATATTTTTATATTGTAAAACAATTTCAAATTATGTGTTAGTTAATATAAAAGAAGAATAAATCTATTATGCATGACTAATTTTGTTTATTACTTTAGAATGTAAAAACTCCTACACCTTCAGGACATGTATTATTTTGTTACCCTGACAATCATTTTTTTATATATATAATATAGAAATGCTTTTATGTTCTACACATGTTAAATAACTTTATAAAAAGGAATTTGAACTAAATTATTTTTGACAATATAAATGTTTTTTAAAGTATCACTCAATGATAAATTATTATGTACACTAACATTATTGATTTTTATAATAATTATGAAATTTTTTAATTAACTGACAACAGAAAATTTATGTTACTGTTATATGAAAAATAAATTCATAAAAGAAAAGCCTTGAGAGATGTGACTTAGCAATTTCTCAAATGTTGATGTGAAAATCATTACTAAGCATTTGGGTTGGAGTTTGACCTCCGTAGTTTAAAACTAAAACTTATTGGTTTCAAAGTATAAAATCACAGGTAAAACAATTTCGTTTTTTTTTTTTATTTATTCTTTATGTTTAGGATTCTAATTTATGATTTTCAACCATATTCAATCTAGATTTATCTAAAAAAGTAAATTTGATTTGATTTAAAGATTAAATCGGTCAGATCATGACTAAAGACTCAATCGATTGATTAAAAAATATGTATTTTGTTGTTCCAAAAAATATGTTTCTCTTAGTAAAATTGGTTTTTTAAAAGAAACCTATAATATTATTTATTATAAATAAAATGTATTATATTTATTTGTTTTTTATATATAACTTATTTTTATTATATGTTATGATAGTTTTAGTAAAACCTAATTTTAATTTTTTAATAAATTTGTATATATACACATTTTTTTCTTAATATTCTTTAATATATTTGTATTATTGAATTAAGAATTAAAATTATAATATTTTATTAAAATCCCGATTAAATTTTGAACCTAGGACTTATTATATCCTGTTATGAGAATTTTGCTAATTTCGTCGAAAAACAAACAAATCACAAGACAATATGACCTTAAAGGAGAAGGAACTAGTTTTTATGTTTAGAATCCACAAATTCGTTGAAAAGGTAAAATAGGTGAAAATTGGCAATCCTTGTGGATGGTGCATCAAACACTTTTTTCAACACAGGCCAATTTATAATCCTTCATGGTGCATGAAAATGACATGACTATCATATGTTACTATGAAATTATAATTTTCTAAAAAACCTTGAGTTTCTATTACTTCCCACTACCTGCAAAATTTATCTTTTACAACAAATTCTAGAAGACAAAAATATCCCATGTTGCTGACAAAAACCATATACATACTTCATGCCACGGTATCATTGCCTATGGAACACGATCATAAAATTTATGAAACCAATAAAGACAAAATTAATCTTTCATGTGTATGGACCTGGACGATAAAATAAACTTTGTAGCTTTTGTAAAAGGACACCAAATACATGTGATTTCTGAAAATGAAATACTGTCTAAATTATTCAAAAAGCCTCAAACTTGGAAATAGAGGATCAGAATTGAAATTAAAATTAAAATTTCCATTCAACATGGTCCCCACTGTTTTCAAGTCTATAAATGTCACCAATAAACTCCATGTGTTTCCGTGAAATGATATTGTAATTCACCCTCTAAAATATAGCACCAATCGAAGGTGTCCTTTATCATCCAGATGTTGATGAAACCACTAACGACAAAAAAAAAAAGAGTATGTAGAGTACCTAACGCCTCTCATTAAAACATATCAAGTGATTCTCGTTCCTTTGCATTTCTTGTGGATGATTCATGAGATCAAGAAATATAAAATTACTTCAGGAAGAAAACTTGTAGCAATGGCTACTGCACAGCACCACTTTAGTTATAAGAGACTAATATGGGACATTATTTGGCAGGTTTCGGATAACATTACTCTTCATTGCTATCGTGTTACGCATATTCTCCACACCTGACCTATTCATTTCCTTCAGGACTTTCATCCTCACAATTTTCTCCCTTGATTGGACAGTGGTTAAACCCATGCTCCTGTACCTGCAATTAAATAAAAAAAAAAATCCCATCAGCATGTGACTATAATTTTCTTGAATCATCAAATGTCCTTCCGCATTACAAAGAAATAGAACACAATGTTTTGAAGGTGAACCTTGAAGCCAATGCAGCAGTAATGGACAAATTATTTGCTTGTGATGGCCGAGGTTTCTGACGATAATAACGTAAAAATTCACGGGAACCAAGTGTTCTGGTTGATATCCTATCACCAGATTTTCTGGTGATTATAAGTTCAGACCCACCAACAAGTTCTACATTGTTGGCTGTTTCACCAGATACAATGAGCTTGCCCTGATCATCCACGTAACTGAACAAAGAAAATATACATTAGAGATTGGAAGTATGAATAGCCTTGTCATTTTTATAGAGATAGTTTATAAAGGGGAGAGATTGAAATCAAAGCAGTTGGAACTGTACTAACCTGCTGCTGTAGTCATAGAACTCTTCTAACTCTACCTCCTCCTCACCATCACCATCACCAAAATGCACTTTACAATGGCTTTTAGCTGCCATATGTTTCCTGACTGCTTCCAAGCTGCTGAACGGATAACATCTATCATTGCAGTACAAACACATGTAGTCCCTTTGGACCTATAAAATGGAAAACAGAGAAATTACGACCAAACCAAACCTTTTTTTTTTGTTGGGGGAGGGGGAAGAACAGAAATCTACCTTCAGGCCAAGATAGGTGAGGAAGCCTTTTGGATCCTTCAAATACTCAACATCTGGAATGAAGAATCCATGGTGCTTGTGCATGTGAACCATGCAGTCTTCTATTGTTTTGTGCTTTTGATCACACATAAAGCAACATGAGGGGTCCAACTCCTCAAAGTGATTCTCATCATTGTCATCTTCATCTTCATCCATATCAACATTTTCACCATGCTCATTCACATTCAAATCAGTCAAGGACTTTGCAGTCCCATCTACTAAATCATCTTCAGGATCAACCTCCTCCCATTCATCCTCACTTTCTTCATTTTCAGAGCTATCTACCTCTCTTCTAGGAGGAGGTCTATTCACAACACGTTTTGGAAGTGGCTTAATTATTGCCTTCTCATCTGCATGACTAGTTCCTTCAGAGGCCCGGATCATATGACCACGTGATTTAAGGTGCTCAGCATGAGCTTTAGAACTTTTATAATCCTTTCCACAAAGAGCACAGCTATACAGCATGGGGGTCTCATTCAATTTATTTTTCTCTTGAGCAATCACAGATTGCCTAGCCAGAAATAGTGCTTCTGTTACCCCAGGAACCCCAGCCACCTATGTGTATTAAAAATTTGACATTAATTTAATATTTTCAAGGAAACAAACCAAGTTATTCCCAATTAATTGAATACTCACCAAAACCTCCCCCTCCCTTATCAGATGGTCATATATAGTGAAGGTACGAGAGGAGTATAGCTTAACCAAACAACAATCGTAGAACGTTGGTTAAAATTATTTTAATTTGTTTTAATCTTAATCACCATTCCAATTATATGGTTGAAAGTTGCTTCCCTTACTCATCTCTTTTTCAAGTGGTCATATGACCATTAAACAACTCATAATCCTAATCATCTAGATATTAATTTACTCCTCTCACTTGATATCTCATATATATGCACATATAAACGTGTGGGAGGAGGGGGCAAGCGCAAGCACACTATACCCTATCTGAAAATTATTTACAAGCTTGACAACCCTAATCATATAATCTCGTAAACTTTAAGTTAAAATGAACTGAACTTCTCCAGTAACCTAATTTGAATCATCTATCCACTTAACTTCTATAGAAGTGTTTTTCATCCAACTTCTACATAAACTGAGTTACATGAACTTCTCCAATGTATGCGCTTATTAACTAAACTCAAATCATTTTACTTTCTTATTTTCCTAACGTGAGTGCTCCAGAAGATTATCTAAACAGAGTCTAAAACGTCATAAATATACCCCAACAATTATATATGAATTGTTCTTAACACAACTGATTTGAAACACATTCCATGTTTCGACACAACCCACCCAAAACAAAATTTACGAAATAACAAAAGAAAATGAATAAATATCACAAAACACATATCTCCAAAGAATTCAGCTAGTAAAATAAGAACCCTAACAGAGAAAAAC